TACAGGTGATTTTCATCCATACGCGACTCATACGGGACGGTAAACTCTATCAGGATGAGCTGCCGTTTCTCCGCAGAGTGGAGGACTATGTCAGGTCGCAGACCGGTAAATAAATCGTATTCATTATTATCACTATAGCCTTATACCACCTTGTCTCGGAGGGTCTTCAGTTGCTGTGTAAAATTACGTAACTTTAATTGTTGTTACTCTAAAAGGAAAAACTACTGAGGGATAATATTTTGTCCCTCGTCCGAGTGGGTTTCAGGGCCCTACTTTGAAAAAAATATAGATCCACAGCTCCAAGCAGATCCAAGCATGTCGTAGAAGTTCATTTGCGTAAACATTAGCAAGTAAGGACTACACTGGAAAGGGTATGGCGTGATATTTTCCTTCTCATCGCTTTGCTGTTGAGAGTATACGTACGCAGCTAACATCGTAGTACTAGTAACTGAAAGCTTTCACACATTACGGTTTCGGCAAAAGTTACATGAGCATGCAGCGAGCATTGTTTTTGTTTTGTTGGAGACGTAAACGGAATATTGTAATTACAATTATAGCAATTGAATAATAACAAAAAGTTCAGTAATGCATTTTCTTTGACAGCAAGAAAGTGTAAGCAACGAATGCAGCAGTTTAATGCACGCCTCGATACTGAAAATAAAACATGATTTTTAGAATATCCTTTTATCGGAGCCCACAAAGTGAAAAGAATAAAAGCAGAAAATAAATTTGAAGGGAATTAAAGAATTGTGGCATTGTGTAAAATACAGTCGAATGTGACAGTGTGAGCTGTGGGCGATAGCACAGGATCATCATCAATCAACGGGTCTTGTACAGAACGTCACTCTCCTAAAAGCACGCGTGAATGTCTGTATTTATCTAGCTAGTTCTCAAGCCCTATGTACTTTCTAAGTTAATGTATCTTCAATGTCTGTATCTACCCTCGCGGAGATACGAATCTGCCTTGTATTCTTGAAACTAACCCTCCATGACCCCCGTCCCCAATTTTTCTATACAACATGACGTTTAACAAGGTCAAAATACACCAGCCTTTGGGATAGGACGCTGTCTATTGGTTAGTAATTCTCTATGCTTAGCTCGTGTAATGTAAAGCAAAGGACACTGTTCTACGTCTTCATGCGTATAGGGAACATTGGGCTAGACCTATATTTTATAGACCAAACGGCACTTGGTGGGTAATGTGGTCAGCATCATGCCGGTCGCCTTTACTTCCCAAGTCTGTGCCTGGTACTCATTCAAGGCTAGGTCGACCTGGGAGCCAAGATCAATTTTGAAAAAAGTTCCGCCCCGTCGGGACCCGAACCTACAACCTTCCGATCCGCAGGCGAGCGTCTAGCCGATAGACCACGGTGACTCCGGCTCAGCTCATGTATGATGTTGATGTTTTTCTTCTTCTTCTTGGCCCACGGTATTCTCAGAATTCCTCTGTAACATTTCAATTAAAAGCAAAAATTTTGCCTTCTTCAGCGAATGAGCAGGATTAAGTGACTCACATCCATAAGTTGCCAGGGGAAAGATACAAAATCTAAAAAATGTTACTTTAACTCTCGTCCAGGTGCTGTACCATGGCCTGTTTTTGCTGTTTCATCTTTGCATTGCTAAAGCACGACTTCTTGAGACTAATTTTGTGCAGCCGCCACTGCTATTCACCACTGAATCCAGATATTTAAAATCTGCGACATTTTCGATTTCTTCATTATTGATTTTAATATAAGGTTGGTATGTGGCAAATTATAGGCGGACTTTTGATTGAGTGTCTACTGGGAAGTAACAGCAGATGCGAGAAGAGAGCCGAGTAAATAATGTAGTGAAAAAAACGGGCGCTTTTCAAAATAAGAGTCGACCTCATCCTTCAATATACCGCAAGAACCATATGGCACCACTTATAAAATGTAATTCTTCTTCTTCTTCTTCTTCTTTCGTTTACTTAAAATAGATTATCTAAATCTACAATGTTGTCTCTAGTATGAACTTCACTGTCTTTTGTAATTCAGTCAGCGACCCGTGAAGTTTGACTTGCACCGATGTTTCTCTTGGCTAAAAGTTTTGCCTTGATATGTTGTATTTGGGACAGACAGTCATGGAGGACATGGTCTGTTGTCTCAGGTGCCAATCCCCATGTGCATATGGCTGATTAGCCATAAAATGTAATTAAAATGAGGAGGTTTACTAGAAGCATCCCGAGCTCTGTTAGCAAGAACTTGGAGAAAACTTCAACATACATTAAAGTGTCAAACAACGTTAAAAAAAACTGTCGCCAACAACTGGTGATTTAGTGTCCAAACATTAATGTGATTACTGACACTTGTCTTGCTAACAGATCTGTTGTGGACAAGTGCCAAACCAATCACTCATTACATTTGGCAGCCCAGTTTTGACATCGTTCTCTTCTTTTGTAAAATTGATGACATCTGCTTTTTCAGATGATCGGCAACCGAGCAGGGCGGTCAGTCGTCATGTGGCCGTGATGCTTTTTATGAAGTCTCAAACGTGAGATCATCTTCTTCTTGGTCTCTCTCTCTGCCTCTTGGTGTTTCGATTTTCATGTTGTATGCTCTTGATGCTGGCATGGTGGGTTCCATTCTCATTAGGTGACCAAACCATTTCATTCTTTGCTTCTCAATAAATTTAACGATGGGTATCATTGTAAATACTTTTATTTATAATTACATTTAAAACTTCTATTTGTAATATCAACATTGAAGCTTCCTTTCGCACGCCCACTTAAAGGCGCACGCCCTCCAGATTGTAAACCAATGTACTAGGCCTATTTGTCAAGACTAATCAGCGCTCAACTGATGATTTGGGGTGAACACTTTGCCAGCCACCTTGACTTTAAATGGTATTTCCCAGTTACCGTTTTAACTCTTTGAGTGCCGAGGAACGCACCATACGTTCATAGATTCCTAAACAGAAGCCCAAAGAATGCATGATGCGCCGATTTTACGTGTCTCTTGACTACTCATGGGCCTGTGATGCTAAACCCGCTGGGACTTAAAAAGTTAAGCTCGGTCGATTTGAGCAACTACAACGAACAAGCGGAAGATTGTAACAATACAGATGATCTGTCTTAGGAGAGATGCCGGTGTGATAAGAAGAGACAAAATCAGAAATAACGAAATTAGAAGAAGACTGGGACAGAAATCAGTCATACAATTCTTTAAAGAACAACAAATGAGATGGCCTGGCCACCTGACGAGAATGACCTGGTACCAACTGCCACAGAGAGCAGCGCTGAAGACATATAATAAACACCGAGCCAAGGGAAGACCATGCAGGATATAGAACGACATCATCAGGAGCAACCAAACAGAAATAAACACTAACTTGTAGAATGCATTGGAAAAAGCGCGCATAGAACGACATCATCAGGAGCAACCAAACAGAAATGAACACTAACTTGTAGAGTGCATTGGAAAAAGCGCGCAAACGATTCTTACATCTCCCCCCAACACCTCGCTGAGGTAAATAATGGAAGAGAAGAAGAAGATATGAGCAAAGCGACATTTAAAGAAATATGCTTCGACGCAGAAAATACGTTCAGCTAAACGATCTGATGTTCTGCTTGCTTGCTTGCTAGAAGAAATGAAGAAGACAAAAATCGATTACGTTCAAACAGCTTACGATGCGGCTTCAAATGTGAAGTTTAAAAACATAACAACCTGTAAATATTATTAGTTAATGATGTGAAGAGTATTAAGCACGTGACATCACGGTAAGACGAACACACTGACGTGGTCACCCCACTTTTGACATGAGAGGTATGTCAGAAGGTATATCTTCAGAGCCTTTGTTTTTCGCAAAATGATGATAGCAGGGATAAATCACAAGGGCAATTTGATATTGTGGCTTTTAACTGTTCTATATCGGCTTGAAAGAAATTTCTGAAATCATCTGATGTAAAATTAGATGTCAGCAAACAAGCTGAATTACCTTTGTTTGTCAATGTATTTTTGCCTTCCATATATCTTTGCTGTGTTTTTTAAATCTCATCACTATCTTTAAAAAAAAAAGTTTTTTTTTTCTCCTTACGAATGGCGTACTGGACTTTGTTTCGCAGACTTCGGTATGTTATTATATCCTCATTTTTATAATCCCTATATCGCTCTCTCATAATTTCAACTATTTCCTGGTTAATCCACGTGGATTTAGTCTGATATTTCACAAGGACTTCTTTAACTTGGACATGTTTATCAGATATCAGATACATAAAAAAAGGTCTTCAGCCAATATTCCAGCAGCGTCGCCTGGATCAGGGAGCTGATAAACGTGGCCGAGAGGTGAGCTGAGCAAGCCTAGAGGGAATGCATCTTGATGACAATTTGTATAGCTTCTAGATTTAACACTTATATGTTTTGTTTTGTTTATACGCGTTTGTTGTATTCTACGCGCAAATTACGAGGTAATGATCGCTCATTGCCTTAGTGGGTACCGTACATTTCCATAATGTTATCAGGACATGTTACATTAGTATGGTCTATGAGTGTTGACGATGATTTTGTTATGCTGGCAGCTTGTTTGACTAGTTATTGGAGATTATATGAGGTAATTATGTCTTTCCCCAGTCTTGCTGGATTTGAGGGCAGTTAATATATACTTCCACAAGAAGTATAATTTCTCCTACATTGTTGAACACTGTATCAATCATACTGATGAAGTTTTCATAATATATTCTTTTCAGCGCTAGGATTGTGGTAGAGATAGCCAACTACGATGGGTCTGTGATTTTTTTCTTTAGCTCAACTTCCAACAATATGCACTCTACATAGTTCGTCTCAAGTACCATCATTCAGACAACGATCACCCGGGAAAGGTCCCAGAAAACCCGTCTCAATGAGTCGAGACAAAAACACTGACCCAATCAGTGATTCAGGTTTTCCAGTGCTTAGCAAAACATGGCTGACCAGGCATATCGACACAGAAAATGATGATGATGATGACACTCGTAACAACAGCCAGGCCCACAAGCAGATACTTACATTTGAGGGCATGGCGGAGCAGTTTCTCATGCTCCTGTACAAGGTTCGACAATCCAGACAGTCCCTGGTCCGCCTTGGACAGCTCCCCCAGAAACCGCATATCTAAAAATGAAAAGTTAAGTCGGTTGAGGTTGCTTCATTACCGTATTGTGGTTGCCCCAATATAACAGCGCTGAATGGCTTTAGGTTGAACTGGGTTTCCAGACTACGTACCAGTGTGATTCTCGTCCTTGAGCTGTTAGTTCTACAGACTACAATTCTGGGAAGGGGCGGGGGGGGGCGGGGGGGGGGCTATAAAAAACTTTAAAAAAGCTAAAGCAATGTTTCCCCGTTGTAAATTCGAACAAAGAAGACACAAACAATAGATTGCACAATTTATTGCATGGCACATTTCGCTGTATCTCGTCAGGTGCATACTACAGTAACAATTATATAAATGAAGCAAATAAGTAAATAGTGCAAACTATTGTTTGTGTCTTCTTTAAAATGTTTTAAAAAAAGTCGTTTCATTAAACACACTAGCACGTAAGCCTTGACGAACTCCTTCTGTGGTGAACAAGTCTTTATATATTCATTGGTTAGTTCAAAGACAGTACAATTTTTATGATACTCTTCTATTGTCCTATTCTATGGCACGGTGGCCAACAATATGTATTCTACATAGTTCGTCTCTAGTACCACCATTCAGACAACGATCACCCGGAAAAGGTCCCAGAAACCCCGTATCAATTAGTCGAGACAAAAACACTGACCCGAACAGTGATTCAGGTATTCCAGTGAATAGCAAAGCATGGCTGAACAGGTATATCGACACAAATCAAAGTTTACGGTTAAAGTCGAGAGGATCGACTTCATTGCACCAGGTTTTATCCAATATGTCTCAGCCTCTGTCCACAGAACGACCAGCCGCCTGCCAAGATCACCGCGCAGAGCGAGTACTCGGCTGCTCTGGCGACGATCTCCAGGGTTTCAAGTAAACACTGCACTCGCGAACTGAAGGTCGCAGTTGTGGAACGAACCCACGACCTTCAGTTTCAGAGGACAACTGCTTGACCACTTGTAGCCAAGTGATGTTAGAAGAAGCCAGGATGACTTTGAAGACATGTTACAGTGTAGTTCTCAGCTGGATCAGTGTTTTTGGCATGAAATTCTGAATATTTTGATGAAGCTTTTAGCTATAATAAATCATCCAGAAGACATTAAGAAGAAAATAAGGCTTTACTATTATCACAGTAAATGGAAAGAGTTCTTATTCATTATGGCCAAAGATAAGCGCTCGCGCACCCGCACGTCTGTGTGTATGTCCTGAAAATAAAGTAATTTAGAAACAAACATTTCAGAACTGTTCACCATAAATTCGCTACATAATTTCCCATGGGTAGTAAGCTTTGATCCTCTACAGTTTCTGAAAACTGCTCAAAGGTGCATGTTTACGAAACTCGAGTAGGTCAGAGCCAGTGATATCAGCATCCTTTTGGATCGTAACAAATGATGACAAGGTCGGAGGAGAATAGATCCCGTCCTACCCGACAGTTAGAAAAAAAAAAAAAACATGTCGTGGGAGGCTTTTGTTCAAAGTCGTAGTTAATCTGCCTGAGGGGCGAGGAACTAACAGTCTGCATTAACATAAGATTGATCCGTGAAACAGACGTGCATGCATTACTCAAGTTTTGGAATCAGACCAAATTCCAGAAGTTGACAAGAAGTCAGAAGTGTCCACCAGAGTTTAAAGCCAGTCAACGCGAATAAGAAGGGGAAAGGGGAGGAGGAGAAGAAGACACATACGCGTCTAGTGTTTTTTTTTTTGTCAGCTTACAAAACCAACCCACATACAGTATCTCTCTCTCTTCTTCGTGTTTTCTCTTTGGGTGGGGGGGGGGGGGGGGGTTTTGTATGTATGTATGTATGTACGTACGTATGCATGTGTCTATGTAACCATCCATGCTCATGTGATTTTCCCTTGATATTCATAAAAGTATTATGCATATTATTATTTGAACATGACATGCTGTACTGATAAAATATATTTGCTGTGTGAAAGATGTTTGTTTGGAAGAGCAGAATGTTACATGAGCATGCGTGCCAAATTTGTGACTCTTTTAAGGTGAAGTTCGTTCCCTTTCTCTCTCTCCTCTCTCTCTCTCTCTCTCCGCCTCTTTCTCTCCCTATCTCTATCTCTAACGCAAACACATATCCCATATCCTTAAATCCCCAACCAACACACCCAATCATTTCAAAACTACAAACACCAGGGACATAAACATACAAACGACGACACAGACGATTGTTGTGACCTCACCTTCACCTTCGCTAACGATGAACTGGACCGGGCTGGTGATGGCCGACTTGCTGCAGTTGGCAGAAATCATGATCACTCGGACGTTCTTCAGCTTGGGCTCGTCTGTCTCCACGTTCAAGAAGTTGTCCGTGAGAAGCTTTATGTCTGGTTTTGATGGTTAAAGTTTTGTTTTTGGGCTGTTTGATTGAGGAGCAGCTGGCAGAAAGGGTAAGAGCGCTGGACTTTTCAGACTCGTATCCTAGGTACGGTTGGGGATTTATTTTTCATGTCAGGGCAAAAAGAAACTCCCAAACTGCTTAGCTAATGGCCACAGCGGCCAAAAATCCTCAGTGATTTCCCCTTGTCCACATTGCACAAATGGCAGATACAGGAAACATTTGTAGTTTCTGGCAATTGCCTGATTAGCGAAAACAGAAAGAAGAAAAATCATCCCTTACTCCACCCCGTTTTTCTATTTCTGCTTACCTAGCCGTCAGCATAAATGGGTACCAGGTAAAGTCCTGGGAAGTAAAGGTGGTTGGCTTGATGTTGACCACATTAACAATTGAGTGACGACTGGTCTACTAAATATCCGACTCGTCAATTAGCCAATTTGTCAATCAGCAATTTCTGTTTTCTTACAGTCATTTTCATCATGGCATCCCTGAACATCTCTTTCTCTAACCAATTCAGTAGCCCTGTATGCTTTAATAACCAGTGCATCTTCAGTTTCTTGTATTCACCTTCGCGTAGGTCGGTCTACTTCGTTTTCCTGAAACTGGGCTCTCCCATCGTTTATGTCTTTTTCATGTCACCAAGACGTTCAACAAGGCCAATACTCCCAGCTTTCGAGACAGGATGCTGTTTATAAGCTGTATTTGAAAACTAATTTTTAAAAACCTGTCAGTAACATAACATCTTGAAACTTGCACATGAAAAGTAAAAATGCATAAGGCAGCTGTCAGAATTGCAGCTCAGTGCGGGCTACACAGTCAGTCACGAAAGCCGACATTGCACAGGCAAAAGTACAAGCCATTCTAAATATACTTGACCAGGCGCCATTTTATGTGACAGCAACATGATGCAGGTACACAACAAAAAACCCGCATTCAGCATGAAATTAAATGGCTCCCAGTGTCACACCAAGCACTTAGCTCAGTAGCTGGGCCAAGGAAAATGTTGACTCCAGGTCCAGAAAAGGGGAATTTGTCAAATCCCGCAACCATTAGGTAGAAAACACACCATAATCCACAACTCAAAGGATACTCTTGGCCCCAAGAAACTCCAAGTTCTTGGCCGCCTTCCGAATTTTATCCGGAGAGTCCAAGCCAAATCCCCAGATGTGGCTGTTTGGTGAAGTCTTTCGGAGCAGACTGGCCAGATGGGCTGTGGTGATTCCAGTCCCAACGTTCACGTGGATAACATCTTGGTCGATGCCTAGTAAATGCTTCACGGACTGAGGCGCCAGGCAACTGGACTTGTCCTGAAATAGAAAATTTTTAACAATCTGAAAATTGAATATTTACTCTCTGAGTAAACGTACAGTAGACAGACGCATGTTACGCAATGGCGCATCAGGAATATTTGTCAAGAACATCGCCACTGTAGGGGGAGGAGGGGTGATGTCAGGGGCGCCTGTTCAAGCCACTCTGGTCGTGGTATCCGTGTGTTATTGAACACGAAGTCACGATGCGGTCAGCTAAGTACTATTATTCTACTTTTCGTCATCAGCATACACTGTCATCTCATAGCGACGCAGGACCCGGACAACGATTGAGTATACATACCATTAGCCAATATTCCTTTTTTTTTTTAAATTTTGTAAATCTGTAGTGGTACCACAAATACAAAGCGGGATGTATACTAGACAGGACGTATACTAAAAAGGATGTATACTATGCAGGACGTATACCGAACGAATTTTCCAATGGGAAATAATTTGGGAATTATTAATCTGTTCCTAGGAAAACCAATCCAATTATTGTTGGCATATTAAACACTGATGGGGTGGTATTAAACAATTTAATCACTGCGTAATACTTAAATAAATAAATACAAAAACCAGTAGATGAAATAAATAAAAAGTGTACCTCATTTTACCTTGGTGAGAAGAGTACTAGGATGGTGCTGAGAAAGGAGGAGGAGGAGATGTTGTTTAGAAAAAGAGTCCCCTTCAACAAAAAAAAAAAAAAAAAAAATCCAGGAATCTGATATTCTGGTGGTTGTGTTTTTCCCTACTTGGACCCTGGTTGAGGCTCAGAAGTTCTAGCACACGAGTCGTATTCCAAACAAAGATCGGTTATCAAGCAAAATTGTTCGTGTCTAAAAGTGACGTATACCCGGTTGAACTTTTTAGAAAACGAACGCCCGTGTCTTATCTTCGGTTTATGGCGCTGAGCGTCGTGGGAAGAATACGTGGTCGTTCTGTGGTGGATCAGTGGTAGTGGCTTTTGTCATTCCGGGTAAATATCTTTTTGCTGCCCTCTTACACTCGTTTCAGAACCTCTTAAACCAGGTCTTCCACACTGTGTGTCGCGACATTTTGGCTGCAGCGTGAGACTGTGTCACGTGAATATAAAGCGCTAAACAGAATAATCAGCACACATTGTTAAATTCTAAAGTCTAGTTGCAAGTGAATTAGACAACTGTAGCATGAAACTGTTTGTCTAAAGTGTGTCGGTGACTTTGGCTTAGGCGTTGCGAGCACGCTTCGTAATTCCAAGGTACCCTGTTCGATTCTAGCTGCGGACAATCTTTTGCCTAAATACCGCATAGCTTTGATTTCGACAGCGGTATGGAGAGCCAGCCACTCAGATTACAAAGGCAAACTACTGAAGAAAAACATCGTGTAAATACATGATACCCAACTACATTTTTACATAAATGTGTCACTGACATGAACAACTTGGAAAGCTCTGTCTTGATGACCACCTGTGTTTATTTCGGATTGTTGTGGATTGTGTTGTGGATTGTGTTGTGGATTGTGTTGTGGATTGTGTTGTGGATTGTGTTGTGGATTGTGTTGTGGATTGTGTTGTGGATTGTGTTGTGGATTGTGTTGTGGATTGTGTTGTGGATTCTCTACGATGCTGAAATCTTCTGTTTCTCAATAGATTTAGCACAAGGAGTATTTCCCACAATCTGTCTGGTAGGATCGTTTCTCACTTGGTCTAAGATGGCTGCTTTAGCCGCTTTCCTCGAATATCTCATTTTAAAAGTGCTGAATTTACCACTGTGAGATTCTGATGTGATCAAGTTCATCATTAAAACAAAGTTTTGGTCTGAACTGTTACATAACATACCATGACTCTTAACATGTTAGGATCGCTGAGGTGTACCAATGGAAGCCCTTGCACACAAGACCCGCCATCTTTCTCTGACTTCCACTTGTTAAAGTTAAAGTAAGTTGCGTATCCTTTACGTGACGATGCAGAACCAATTCCATCATTTTGTATCTGTTATAGTTTTTCTAGGCAAATTTTATGTTGACTAGTTTGCCATTGCTTACTGAAACGTCAGCTTTCGGTACCACTGTCGAAGCCATCACAAGACAAACCGCCTGTAGCTGGGATCGAACCCGGAACTCCAGCATTACGAAGCGCGTTCACAGCGCCTAAGCCACAGACGCTGACAAGCATTTAATGGTATTTAATGGTGTGCGTGCGGTATGTCATTCGAAGCATTTAATGGTATTTAATGGTGTGCGTGCGGTAGCCTGTGTTGGCGAGTTTGGGTGAGTCTTCATCAGGAGTCCTATTATTGCACATTTTCTCATTGATCACATTAACGACGCCCTATTTTATCGTTGGATCACATCACAGACGACCACCAACCACATAATTATTTTCGTTACTACATCATAACTTCAGTAAATAAGTGTTTTTAGATGGTTTAGGGCGACCCCTGTAAAAGGGTCGTTTGGCCCAAAAAAATGGTAGCGACCCACAGGTGGAGAGCCGCTGCTCTAGAGGTTGTTGAAAGCTGTTCAATCCTCGACGTACCAGAGTTCGAAACAACGTTTTTGTCAACCTTCACTGTATTGTAGGCACAGTTTGAGTAACTCTCATGGTTGCTTAGGATGCATTCTCAATTTACCAATTTAAAAAAAAAATGTTTACGGAAACACAAACCTGTTGTACCAGCTGACCTGATTTGACCCAGGCAGTGTCCTTGACATACATATCTAAATGCGGCGGGAAGATCAAGAGATCAGAGCAGTGAGTGTCCACCTGGAACACATTGTCTGTCTGCTGGCTGATATCTTCTTCTGGAGACAGTCTCTGAAAGTTTTCCGCTTCCAGTGCAGAAATCATGTCGTCCATCCTGCGGTCGTAGCAACAACAGTGTCAATGAAAGTTGGTCACAGCAACAACAGTGTCAGTGAAAGTTGGTATAGATAAAACAGTGTCAGTGAAAGTTGGTCATAGGAAAAACAGCATCAGTTAAAGTCGGTCACAGAAACAGCATTGTCCGTTAAAGTCGGTCACAGAAACAACAGTGTCAGTGAAAGTCGGTCACAGGAACAACAGTGTCAGTGAAAGTTGGTCATAGATAAAACAGTCTCAGTGAAAGTTGGTTACAGATAAAACAGTGTCAGTGAAAGTTGGTCATAGATAAAACAGTGTCAGTGACAGTTGGTCACAGGAACAACAGTGTGCGTTTTTGAAAGTATATAAGAGCGACTCAAGTGGAAGTTGGTAACAGGAACAACAGTGTGAGTTTTCAAAAGTATTTAAGAGCGACTCGAGTGAAAGTTGGTAACAGGAACAACATTGTGAGTTTTTGAAAGTTTATAAGAGCGACTCCAGTGAAAGTTGGTGACAGGAACAACATTGTGAGTTTTTGAAAGTATGTAAGAGCGACTCCAGTGAAAGTTGGTCACAGGAACAACATTGTGAGTTTGGTCATAGATAAAACAGTGTCAGTGAAAGTTGGTTATAGATAAAACAGTGTCAGTGAAAGTTTGTCATACATAAAACAGTCTCAGTGAAAGTTGGTCACAGGAACAACAGTGTCAGTGAAAGTTGGTCATTGATAAAACAGTGTCAGTAAAAGTTGGTCACAACAAAAACAGTGTCAGTGAAAGTTGGTCACAGGAACAACAGTGTGCGTTTTTGAAAGTACATAAGAGCGACTCAAGTGGAAGTTGGTAACAGGAACAACAGTGTGAGTTTTCAAAAGTACATAAGAGCGACTCCAGTGGAAGTTGGTAACAGGAACAACAGTGTGAGTTTTCAAAAGTATATAAGAGCGACTCGAGTGAAAGTTGGTAACAGGAACAACATTGTGAGTTTTTGAAAGTATATAAGAGCGACTCCAGTGAAAGTTGGTGACAGGAACAACAGTGAGTTTTTGAAAGTAAATAAGAGCGACTTCAGTGAAAGTTGGTAACAGGAACAACATTGTGAGTTTTTGAAAGTATATAAGAGCGACTCCAGTGAAAGTTGGTCACAGGAACAACAGTGAGTTTTCAAAAGTATGTAAGAGCGACTCGAATGAAAGTTGTTAACAGGAACATCATTGTGAGTTTTTGAAAGTATATAAGAGCGACTCCAGTGAAAGTCGATCACATGAACAATAGTGTAAGTTTTTGAAAGTATATAAGAGCGACTCCAGTGAACGTAGGTCATAGGAACAACGGTGTGAGTTTTTAAAAGTATATAAGAGCGACTCCAGTGAAAGTTGGTAACAGGAACAACAGTGTGAGTTTTTAAAAGTATATAAGATCGACTCCAGTGAAAGTTGGTAACAGGAACAACAGTGTGATATTTTGAAAGTAAATAAGAGCGAGTCCAGTGGAAGTGGGTCACAGGAACAACAGTGTGAGCTTTTGAAAGTATATGAGAGCGACTCCAGGTAAGGTCGGTCACAAGAACAACAGTGTGGGTTTTTGAAAGTATATTAAAGAGACTCGCATCAGAGAGGACACAACGGAGAACAATGTTGTACAGATAGTGTACAGATACAGTTTTAACAGACCCAGAGGTCGACCAAGCAAACAATGGACCGAGGAAATATTGTAGACACTGAAAAGTACTTTAAACGAATTGAACAGGGAGCCCGTTTCAGAGATCTCTTCCTGCCCTGATGCCGCGAGACTTTGAAGAAGCTAAGACAAGAACAAGAGGAAGACAACGAAATAAATTTACATATGTGTGTGTGTGTGTGTGAGAGAGAGAGAGTGAGAGAGAGTGAGAGAATGAAAGAGAGATGCAGCATGAGAAGGCGAATGAGAGTTGTAAAGAGAGAGAGAGAGAGTGAGATAGAGAGAGAGAGAGAGAGAGGGGGGCAGAGAATGGGACAATTGTAAAGCTAAAGGTGATGTTAAAATCGACAGGATCGACTTCACTGAACGAGGGTGATATCCCATATGGCTCAGTCTCTCTCAGAAGAACAGCTAGCTGCCTACCGAGAGCGTCGAGCAGTGCACTGTCTTCGCAGCTTCGGGGACGAACCCCAGGGATCTCCATTCAAATTGCATTCGTAAACTAAACGGCCCTTCCGTGAGAGAAACCAACGACCTTCAAAGTGCGAGGCAAACGGCTATGAGAGAATGAAAGAGCAGTACAGAATGAGAGCGCGAATGAGAGAGTTGGGAGAGAGAGAGAGAAAGAAAGAGAGAGAAGAGATAAAGAGATAGAGAGATAAAGAAATAGAGAGATAGGGAGATAGATAGATAGAGATAGATAGAGAGATAGAGAGAAACAAAGAGAGAGAGAGAGAGAGAGAGAGAGAGAGAGAGAGAGAGAGAGAGAGAGAGAGAGAGAGAGAAGAGAAAAACCATGCAATTCAAACTCACGTAGTTTTCATCTCATTCACCCAAAGAAAAACTGGTGTACTGGTTTTGGTCTCATCCTTGTTGCGCACCTGCTCGGGAAGAAGGTGCTCGATAGAGGGCGCATTGTGTTTGATTCGTTCCTTAGCCACATGGGACAGTAGCCTGGTCTTCTTTGACAACAGGGCGGCCTCGATGTCGCAGCACAGCTCATCGACTTGCTCGTGTTCATGTGGTTTGTACTTCTGAAACTTGCGAGTCTGCAGGTCGAACAAAATGATGCACACCAAACTACGATCTCCTGAGAACTGCAAGAGACAAGGAAGATAAACCTAATCATGGAATTTTGTATTGGAGAAGGTAAGAATGGAAAAATCAACACATCGCCGACTAAGTATCACAGGGTAACAATATGAAGAAGCTAAAAACTCTGGGCTGAACTCCACGTCAAAATCGAGAGATTTGCATGCAAGAGAGTGGACTGGATAATTGGAATGCGAGCTCCATGTGACGTCTAACGGCACACGCAGGTTGATGATGATATTGTTTGGAAGGTGAGTCCGTTCCATGAACAAGTCAGAAATTCTTGCTGCTGTTTCATATAGTAGTCGTCCATCCTTTGCAGATGGTTTGGGGATCACTAGTTTTTCTTGACATCCAGACTTCCAAAGTACTCTGATTCATTTCAGCGATCATATTTATTTTTCGTTTAAAAAAAGTAAACACACACGTGTTAACTAGAGCGTTAACTAGAGCTCTACCAACGTGTCACCTCTTAACGATTGCTTGGATTTTTGATTAACAACTGAACATAGCTGTTGATTGGGGCTTTATCTACGTGCCACCTCTTAACGGTTAGTTGTGTATCCTTTACATGACGTTGCAGAAGCAACCCCAACAGCCCTTGGCTGTTGTGTGGTTTTTCTAGACAAATTTACGTTCAGTAGTTTGCCATTGCTTCTGGATGGTCGGCTTTCCTAATACTACTGTCGAAACCAACGCAAGGCGCATTGCCCACAGCTGGGATCGAGGCCGGCATCCTGGCATTACGAAGCGTTCACATCGACTTAGCCACAGAGCCGACACCTCTTAACGAATTCTTGGATTGTTGACTAAGAACTAAACACACATGTTAACTAGGGCTCTTAACGACTTCTTGGAATTTCGATTTAGAATACATTTTGACCAAAACGTATCTCCAAACTGCTGTTTCTCTTGTTGCGGAATCAATTGTCCTTCTCTTTGTAATCACATGTTGTTATGTTGGCGTCGGGAGCGGGGAACGTGAAGGATCTTGCCATAAATCAAAGGGGGAAAAAGGGGGATGGGTAGGGGATGGGGTCGCTCTTGCCATACACTTAAGTGGGCGCTATATGAAAAGGTTTGGAGACCACTGCTCTAATCGTAAAATCTCCCATTTGAACTGAAATGATACTCCATCACCCCATTAATTCTAATTATATTCTAATCTTAGAATCTTCTCATTTTAACACTTTTAACTCTTATCCCATGATCTCCCTATGTTGACTCCTGCCTGGTCATAATTGCGTGCTTTAGCCAACTTTTCGACTATTTAAACATGCAAATGAAACCTGCAAAGGCTATCAGTGGTAGGGGGTGCCGATCAATATAATCAATAACATCACAGGTCTTGTCTAAGCAGTTTAATTAAGGAACAAACAAAATCGATCAAGCGTTGCTTTCCAATTGTTGGACGGCTATTTCCATTTCAACTGGGGTTCTGAGTGGCGAAACAGATGTGATAATAATTGCGAGGTTTAAATTATGTGCTTCTTCTTCTTCTTCTTCTTCTTCTTCTTCTTCTTCTTCTTCTTCTTCTTCTTCTTCTTCTTCTTCTTCTTCTTCTTCTTCTTCTTCTTCTTCTTCTTCTTCTTCTTCTTCTTCTTCTTCTTCTTCTTCTAATTCTTCTTTATCTTCCTCTTCTTCTTCTACTTCTTCTTTTTCTTCCTCTTCTTCTTCTTCCTTCCTTCCTTCTGTTTTTTCTTTCTTTCTGTTTTTTTTTCTGTTTCTTTCTTTCTTTCTTTCTTTCTTTCTTTCTTTCTTTCTTTCTTTTTTTCTTTCTTTCTTTCTTTCTTTCTTTCTTTCTTTCTTTCTTTTTCTTTCTTTCTTTCTTTCTTTCTTTCTTTCTTTCTTTCTTTCTTTCTTTCTTTCTTTCTTTCTTTCTGTCTTTCTTTCTGTCTGTCTGTCTGTCTGTCTGTCTGTCTGTCTGTCTGTCTGTCTGTCTGTCTGTCTGTCTGTCTGTCTGTCTGTCTGTCTGTCTGTCTGTCTGTCTGTCTGTCTGTCTGTCTGTCTGTCTGTCTGTCTGTCTGTCTGTCTGTCTGTCTGTCTGTCTGTCTGTCTGTCTGTCTGTCTGTCTGTCTGTCTGTCTGTCTGTCTGTCTGTCTGTCTGTCTGTCTGTCTGTCTGTCTGTCTGTCTGTCTGTCTCTGTCTGTCTGTCTGTCTGTCTGTCTGTCTGTCTGTCTTTCTTTCTTTCTTTCTTTTCTTTCTTTCTTTTCTTTCTTTCTTTCTTTCTTTCTTTCTTTCTTTCTTTCTTTCTTTCTTTCTTTCTTTCTTTCTTTCTTCCTTTCTTTCTCGCTAATTGTCTTTTCGGTGTTTGTAGAATATCTTTAATGCCTCATATGGGCCCATCTTTCTTTCACATGAAATATTTTTGTTGTGGCTGCATTCTAAAAAATGGCAATAATTAAACGCCAGTTGCAAATCCCTTATAGCAGTGTCCCCCCCCCCCCCCCCCGACCCCTTCCTCCCATCAAATATGCACACATAAGGATAATCCTCAATTTTCACTTCTTGGTTCAGCGTTGTAGGAAGGGACAGTTTGCGATCCTCTGCTTGATGGGCAGCAATGGCTGTTGTCATTCCGTAAAGATGCTCATCAGTCCATATTCTATAAGGGTCTTTTGCTTTTACATCGGATCTTTTCACGTTTTGCGCCATTGTTGTTAGCTATTCGGATTGCATTCTTACTAGATGACCGAACCATTTGATTTTCGGTTTCTCAGGTAATTTGCTTTATGGTGTGGTCCCCATAGTCTGTCTAATAATATCATTTCTAAATTTACATCGAATTGTTAAGTTGGCATCTTTTCTCAGGCATCTCATTTCACATGTATACATTTTACGTAGGTTAGCCTTGGATACTGTCCATGTCTGGCACTGGTAGCACAGTCTTGGTATGACTATGATGTTTATAAACTGTTTCTTGGAAGTATTATTAACTGTGTCGTTTGCATTTAATTGCACTGGCTAGTCGATTCTATTTTGCATTATATTCTCACGTTCTCCTAGAAAATACTTCACAGATAATTAAATTCTTCAACTTGCCTCAGAAAGTACCATTAAACCCTATATGAATGCACACACACACACACAAATGGGAATAACACCGAATCGTTAAAAAAAAAAAGGACATATGGTGGTACTTGGGTATGCGTCTCAATTCCTGTCTTTTGAACGTACACCAGACGAATTGTCCATAAGAAATAAAGAGAGAATAATCAATCCGTTTCCACGCAGAAGAAAAATCCTTCTGTTACTGGCAAATTATACTCTGATGGGGTTGTATAAAATTTTGTACATACGGCCTAATACTAAAATACATAAACACAAAAACAGAGGAAATGAATGACAATTAATCTCACTTTACCTTCCTGAAAAGAACGAAAGCCAGCTTACATGGTAAGTGATTGAAAATGAGGGAGGAGGAGATGTCATTGTTTCGAAGGAGAATCAACTTCCAATACAAGTTCAGGAATTTGACATTCTGGTGTATATCCCCTCTCTTCCCCCACTCCCCCCCCCCCCCCAATTATATCCCCCGTTATTTTCTTTTTTTCTCTTTTCGCTAGTTGGACCTGGTTGAAGCTCGACGGGTTTGACATTTGCTAAAAATCTATCCAAAGAACTTTACTTCTGCAGTCTGCTCGGAATGTTTCGAATATGTAACATTATCTGGTGATTCGCGACAATGCTGTCACGTCTTGTTTGGGCTTTGTTGAAATGATGCTTCGATACTTCTCTGCGAAGTCATTGGCATCTGTTCGTGGCTTGGTCTCGAGGGAAGTAAATGAAGATAGCATGAAGTGTTGTGACTAATTTTTACCCATACAGGCTCTAGCAGGTGGGTCGTATTCCAAACAAATGTGTTCGCGCCAAAATAGGTCGTATACCAGGCTGAACGTATACCAAAGCCAACGTATACTGAGGCACCACTGTATTTCTGCTTTCTTTTTATACTCTATATCACGGCAAGATAATCTACATTTTGTTCACAGAATTATGTCTTGTGTAGACAATGGACTGAACACTTGACTATGGAGACGTCCCACTCTACTTACGTGAGAACCACCAGCGAAAATATTTCCCCTGAACGTAAGCTCGGCACACCATCTATTGATTACGTCTATCGTCACAAAGCCAAGTGACGAGTCATCCATTATGCAGTTTCACGCTCACAGATGTCGTTCGATTCTTAAAGAGCTAATCTAAAATACCAGAATGTCATTCATAAAAAATTCCTAGTCGTCTGACACCTCCCTCTTCCTTCCCCCGCCCACAAAGTGTCTACATACCTGAGGATAAGGTGTGTGCTTCAATGCAGTTTGCAAGATTTGATTCTTGTCGCTGTCTCAAGAGTATATATCCTTCATCTGCTTGCTTCCTATAAAAATTGCACCTACCTCTCCACCTATCTCCTCTAAACACCGACTAAGTACTTACCCATCTACCAAGTGACCGTTCAAGGAACTCATCTACTTAACTGTCTGTCTACCAACCTACCAACACTTCTACCTACCAACCTACCTACCCACATATTCTCATATTTACCAACCTACTCAATTAGCTACCGGCCACCTTTACTTCCCTTACTTTTACCTGGTAACAATTTAAGGCTGGGTCCACCTGGAAGTAAAGGTCATTTTTCATAAACGTTAAGCATCCTCTGGATTTGAACCCATGACCTTTGCATCCAAGCTTCTAGCCGCTACACTACGACAGCTCACTGGTAAATGTATGATATATATATTAGTTAGTTAGTTAGTTAGTTGGGTTATCATCATTGCACTCCGGACATGTCCATAGGTGCTCAGATCCTCCCCTCAGTATGAATCTCAACGTCCGATGGCTAATAGTACCAGTTCTATGTTGATTAACAAATCTTCTGACGTGTCCGGTGTGCGTCTCGTTTTTTGCTGTGCCGATCTTAATTCCCAAGTCTGCCATTCTGGCGAGTGATGTGGATTCACTTCCACCAAAGTCCTCTATCCTTCCTATTTCTCTGAGGGCA